ATTTGCTGCTTTCCTCACACATCTCTGCTCACTCTCACCTAACATAATAGTGCTGGGAGATTTTAATATACATATGGATACTGTCAACAATGCTCTCACAAAGGACTTCACATCTTGCCTGGAAAGTTTTGGATTACAGCAACATATCGATTTTCCGACTCATTCCAAAGGACATATTCTGGACTTGATCTGCTGTTCTGGTGTCACTCCTCTTAAATGTACTGCAACTGATCTTCCCATTTCTGATCACTCATTAATATCCTTTACTGTCACCTTAACACTGTCCAAACCAAATTTGTCACGTGTTATTTCCTTCCGCAACATCAAGGATATTAATGTAACTACACTCTCCAGTAGCATTGACAACCTGCCCAGCATAAATTGTTCATCCCCACCTGATGAACTGGTTTCTCATTACAATAACAATCTTCATAAACTGCTCAATACCCTGGCTCCTTTAAAAACCCGGTCTGTTTCCTTCACCCATTCTGCTCCATGGTTTACACCTGAACTACGCCAACTCAAAACAAAAGGCCGTCGATTGGAACGCCTCTGCAAAAAAACTGGACTTGTCGTTCACAAAGAGATGTACAATAACCACATTCTCCACTACAAGGACACTCTCTCTACAGCCAGATCATCATACTACGCAGTTCTCATCAGCTCTGGCGAAGGGAACACAAGGGTCCTGTTCTCTACAGTGAAGAACATTCTACGACCACCGGACTCTCTTGCACCTCATCAGTATTCAACTGCCTACTGTAACTCCCTCATGTCATTTTTTAATGACAAAATAGAAAACATTCACCAGCAACTAACTCCTAACACCACCTGCAGTATATCTCTCCCTGTTTTCACCGACCATCTCTCTCATTCTCTTTCAAGTTTCACACTTCCCTCTGCTGTTGTAATATCTGACCTCATCAGTAAATCCAAGCCATCTACCTGTCAGTTAGACCCTCTTCCTACCCCCCTGGTAAAAGCCTGTCTACCTTCATTGTCCTCCCTTATAACTGTCATCATACACTCCTCCCTCACCTCTGGTCTTGTTCCCTCACTTTTCAAATCAGCCGCCATCACGCCCATACTGAAGAAACCTGGTGCAGACCCCAACAACTTTAATAACTACCGTCCCATATCTAACCTACCATTTCTCTCAAAAATCCTGGAAAAAACTGTTGCATCCCAAATCCATACCCACTTGTCTGACAATAACCTGTATGAACAATTTCAATCTGGTTTCCGCCCCCATCACAGCACAGAAACAGCACTGGTGAAAAAGACTAACGACCTCCTCATGGCAGCTGACTCCGGACTATTAACTATCCTCATCCTCCTTGATCTTAGTGCAGCTTTTGACACCATTTCCCACAGCATCCTCATTGACAGACTGACCTCCATCGGGATCACTGGCACACCCCTCCTCTGGTTTAAATCATACCTCTCTGGCCTCACTCAGTTCATCCAACTCAAAACCTTTAAATCACAGCCACTTCCAGTCACGACCGGTGTTCCCCAGGGCTCTGTCCTGGGGCCTCTGCTTTTTATCATCTATTTACTTCCTCTTGGCAATATCTTCCGTAAACACAACATCCACTTTCATTGCTACGCGGATGACACCCAGCTCTACTTGTCTTCCAAACCAACCACCATGCTCCCTCCATCCTCCCTGTCTGACTGCTTACAGGACATAAAATCCTGGTTCTCCTCTAACTTTCTCAAACTTAACGACAGTAAAACCGAGGTTCTCCTCATTGGCACAAAATCCACCTTAACCAAACCTGACAGTTTCTCCATTACTATAGACAACTCTTCAGTCTCCCCCTCCCCTCAGGTTAAGAGTCTGGGTGTCATCCTCGACGGCACACTTTCATTCAAATCTCACATCAGTAATATCACTCGGTCTGCCTATTTCCATCTACGCAACATCAACCGCCTCCGGCCGTCCCTTAACCCTAAGACCACCGCCATTCTTGTTCACACCCTGGTCACTTCCCGCATCGACTACTGCAACTCCCTTCTCTTTGGTCTCCCTCTCAAATCCATCCACAGACTTCAACTGGTTCAGAACTCTGCCGCCCGCATCGTCACCAGAACCCCCTCCATTAACCACATCACTCCTATTCTTCAGCAACTTCACTGGCTCCCCGTCAAATCCCGTATCGTTTTTAAGATTCTGCTCCTCGCCTTAAGGCCATCCATAACCTCACTCCTCTGTACCTCTCCGACCTCCTGCACATCAACACACCCATCCGCACACTCAGATCTTCTGCTTCCCTCAGCCTCACTGCACCCCCCTTCCGTTTAACCACCATGGGGTCTAGAGCCTTCAGCCGCTCTGCACTCCGCCTCTGGAACTCCCTCCCACCTGACATCCGCAACACTGACTCTCTCCCCATTTTCAAATCACGCCTCAAAACATATCTCTTCACACTCGCATATCCACCCTGATCATTATCCATCACACATCCTCTGTTTTATTTATTTGATTTGTTGCATTGTCTTGTTTATGTTTCTTATGCTGGTGTTAGGTATTGTGTATCTTGTTTTTTATGTGTTTGTACGGCGACCTTGAGAGCCTTGAAAGGCGCCTATATAAAATAAATGAATTATTATTATTATTATTACTGCATGTGTGTTCTGTGTTCACCTCTGCATGTGTGTTCAGTGCCGTGTGTCTGGCAAATAAAGTCAAGACCCCCTCAAAAGTTACGGTTTATTTCATTTTAAGGATGAGCACCAAGCAACATCTCCAGGTGCTCCTTTGAGAACCAGGGCAAAAAAGTTATGTGCACCCCTGTATATAAACTACTCTAACCTCTAACTAAGCTACTCTAGGCACTACTAACACACAAGATCACACTAGTTAACCACTGGTTACACATTTGCACACAAACGAGAGCAACAAGCGAGAGGCCTCCGCTCACACAGCAGAGCCTCCAGAGTGGTGATAGGCCCCGTCTCAGGTCGGTTAAATGAAATCCTTGCTTCCCTCACTTGCGTCGTTTCCCTGCCTCTAGTCCCTCCCACCAGGGAAGCATGGAGGGACACAAGGAAACCACGAGAAGCAGGGAAATTAGTTTTAAGAGCAATGGGACGTCCTTTCCTACGGAGCGTCACGTGAATCAACGTCCATTTGTGATGACGCTGCACAGCTGATCGTCTGGCAGCAGCCAGCTCTGTCCCCGTTATTTCCACACATACCCCCGCCTCTGTTAGTGCACATTTACTGACATAAACATTTGTATCATCTGTTGTAGACCCAAATACATTAAATAAAATAAGAAGTCATTCTCAAAAAAGATAAACGCCATTCTTAAAATGTATAAACGAACAATAGTTTGATTAATATTGATAAGAGTGCACAATAGGAATAAAATAATTCAGAGAAGAAAAACAGATATGTTATCTATCAAAACCCAGTTAGATTAACATTCATTGGACTGCACACTTTGTTTGTTTGTGTGGAGCAAATTAACATTTTAAATAGGACTTAATGACTGCGGTTTGGCAGCTGAATTAAAAGCTAAGCAGGTCAGTGAAAAACTACAAGCTGAAACCCATTAAGGTAATTTAGGAAGAAGGTACCAATATACATGTTGGATAGAAAGAGGTTTAACCTTTCCAAACACAAAATGTCTGATGCCATGGCGTGCATTGCAGTAGGCCTAGATGTATATAATGCGCTCCTGCAAGAGCAGGAGCAGTCCAGGCGCCGTCGGGCACGACTACAACAGGCTATTGGTTTTATGGAGGTAAGCATCACTAGTCTGTTGCAGTATGAATGGTTTCACCAACAACAGCAATTTCATGTAAGATCAATTAATTGTCAGTTTAATAAAAGCTATAGGTGCTGAAGGTAACACGTAGGCCTATCTTTATTTTGCAGATGGATGTCGATCCCATAGCCATTTTAAACCCTCATGTGCCAGTCCTTGCTGTGTTCTTTGATGGCCAGAAGGACCTCCTGAAGGACTACAGACTGGGGCGCCAGTCACTGGAGGCCCTGCTGAGGATCCTGCCATCAAAGAACACACAAGGCTGGTCACATGAGGTGAATATTTTAATTACCCTTTATTGGTTGGCACACGGCTTGTCATACAGTGTGGTGTCCCGGGCCTTTGATGTCCCCAAGTCGACCGTCTGCAGACTGGTGCACACTGGAGTACAAACAATTGCAGCCCTTCGCCAGGAGGTCATCAAACTGCCCCCTCCTGGAGAACTGGAGGAGGTTGGCCAAGGGTTTGCAAGGCTGGCCAACAGCCCAGTATTCTCCAGGTGTGTGGGGACCATTGATGGCTGCCATGTCTGCATAAAGACCCCCCCCAGGACCTCTGGGCCAGGATTACCTCAACAGAAAGCTCTTCCCATCCATACAATTGCAGGCAGTGTGTGATGGGAAGGGCTTCTTTCTCAACACCTTTGTTGGGTATCCTGGCTCAGTCCATGACACCAGAGTCCTGAAGAACAGCGCAATTTACAAACAGGCTCTGTATCCTCCCTCAGGTGACACCAAATATTCTTATATATATCAAAATCCATCAATTACTTTTAGTATACTAAAGATGTTCTCTCTCTTTTTAGGATTCTTCCTTTTGGGTGATGGTGGCTACCCCTGCATAGAAGGACCTGTGGCCCTCATCACCCCATATAGAGAACCACTGCAAGGGAGGGTGCAGAGCCGCTTCAACCAGCATCATGCTAGGGCTCGCTCCATCGTAGAGCGGGCCTTTGGCATGATGAAAACCAGGTGGAGATCGCTGTTCTTCAAGGCTCTGGAGGTCCACCACACCTTTGTCCCCTCAGTCATCACCGCCTGTGCAGTGCTCCATAACATCTGCCTCACAGCGGGGGACATCCTGGAGCCTGAAGAGGATGTTGGGGAAATTGGTGTGGTTCCACCACATCTGGTGAGGGGGGATCGAGGCAGACATGGCCAGCGAGACCGACTGGCAGGGCTGCTCTCTGCTCCATGTGTGCACCAGTGACGTGCGGTGAGGTCAATGCCTGGGGAGGCACGGACAGTATATTACACTTTTCTTTTTTTTTTACTAACTACCGCTATTCATACATTCAACACAAATGAAAATATTAAATGGCCAGGCCCTTACCTTAACTTGTAAATGAAGTCCATTCGCCTATCCTTCTGGACAAAGATGTCCGTGACTTTGTTGTAGAAGTCCTCTTTATTGTGTTTCAGTTTTAAAAGTCTCTCTGTTTCTATAGAGATGATCGCCAGGGATGAAAGTCGTCTTTGGTCAGTCCGATTCCGACTGTATGTTTTGAGTCGTTTCAAAGCAGAAAACGACCTTTCGACAGACGCTGTTGTAGCAGGTATTGTGAGTACCAGCTGGAGTAACTTTGTCGCCTCAGGAACCGTCTGCATCAGATCATTGTGGTCCAAAAAGCTGAGGAGTTGTTCGGGTGATTTGCATTCATTCCTCACCGTTTGTGAGCTATACAGTCCGATAAGATCAGTCTTCAGTCTAACAAAGTCAAAGTGCCTTGCATATTTTTGATAGGCTCTGCAGTTTGGTGTCATCAAAATGTTGTGACATTTCATTGAATTTTGTGCAATCGACCAAACCAAGGAAAGCTAGCTCACCGAAATGATTAAACCTAGCTTTCAGTTGAACACTGATATTTTCCAGAATGCAATGAAACATTCTTTTCCTCTCATCTCTGATCGGATGTTTACTTCGGACATTGTCTGTCAGGCCAAGTGTGATGCATTTCTGCTCGAACCCATCATAGAAACTGTCAAACTCTTTTCTCTGGCGTTCCACAACTCCCATTGTGTCGCGGATTCGCGCACAGCAGAATCCAATGTCCATGATTTTATTCTGCAGCACACGAAAGAGTGCATCGGTTTCACTGAAAATGCCCTCATATGCCATTATGAAGAAGCAGGTTGATGCTTTTGACAGCCAGAGATCATATCCAGCAGCCATCATCAGGGTGTCATTGTCCCAAACATCGGGATTTTCGCTCATGATCCGGAACACAGCACGCAGATCCGATTGGTACATGCTGATAGTGTGCACTAGTCTGGAATTTGAGCTCCATCTCGTCGGCGCTGCTCTTGACAAACGTCGCTTCACAACTTCATCCAGTAGGTGGGTGCGCTTGGTCGATTTGTTGAAAAACGCCGCAAGTCCCTCAACTGTTTTAAAAAACGTCCTGCACACAGGCATACATTTTGCTGAATGCGAGAGGACGAGGTTCAATTTGTGTGCATAACAATGGGTGAACATGGCCTCAGGCACCTTTTCTCTGATCTTGGCCTGCACCCCGTTAAGAGCTGATGCCATCACAGCAGCTCCGTCATACGTTTGAGCTACCAGCTTTTCAACGCAATTATATTTCCCCAGCACCCCCAAAACATAATCAGCAATAGCCGGTGCTCGCCTGTCATCACTCACATCATCAAATCCCAAGAACGCCTCCTTCACATCACTTGTATCCACATAACGCAGAATGACAGAGACCTGGGCTTTGTTTGTGACATCCGTTGTCTCATCTACTTCCACTCCAACAAATGGGGCTGCATTAATCTCATGCCTGATATCATTTTTAATGACATCACTGACTACTTCTATGAGATCATTCTGTATCCTATTTGAAAGGCCAGAAAATACTGTGGATGTTTCCAAATGCCTTGCTAATTTCTCATCTTTTTCAGCGAAGGCATGTAACAGCTCGACATAGTTGCCGCGATTCGAAGATTTTGCACTCTCATCATTCCCCCGAAATGCCAACTCCTGTTTAGCTAGGAAGCAGACAGCATTAATAAGGTCTTTTAAGATCTCACGATTCTCCTTTACCTTGGCATTGTGGATGCTGACATTTAATCTCTGCTGGTCATTGAGGGCCAGATCTATCCGAGAAGTGCCGAAAGTTTTTAATGCGATTTGGCTTTGAATGTGAGTGATCGATCTCTCATGTTTGTTGAGGCTCCTTGGTAGATTTTTTAAGTCACCAAATCCAATGTTAGTCCAAACGTTGTCGCTAGTGGAGAACAAAAGGCAGGGAAAGCAGTAAAGTCGATTCTTCGTAGCACAGCCACACAGCCAGTCTTTTCTTTGGTACCACTCAGTTTGAAACGAACGTGTTATTTTCTGTCCGTTAGTTTGAAGAAGGTCCTTAAAGGGATAGTGGAAATGGAACCTCAAATAGTTTCGTTTTAACTTATATACAAGCATAATTACGTACCAAAACAATCACACCTGATTAAATAAATATAATAATTGCCTTACGCATGTTAGAAGCACTTTATTGCAGCTTCCCCGAAGTTTTTTAGAAACGAAATGTTTCTCAGCCTAACCGGAAGTGACGAAAACTCAGGAAGACGATACGATAACAAACCATGGCGTCTATGCAGAATGAACGTGGAAGGGCAAATATACCAGACAAAGAAGAAGGATTGTACGAGGTATCCAGTGATGATAGCGAGTCAGAAACATCCTCTCGGCTTTCCTACGAAAATGTCGTTTTAGGAACTGAATCTGAATCCGGTTCAGTAAGCGACGATGGTGACAATATTGAGCCAGACGATGGACCATTACGTCCTTATTTGTTCGAGCCCGAGCCCGAGGTGATGGTTCACGGCATGGGCAATGGCGAGGATGACCAGGACCAGGAGCCAGATGATGCACCCCTACGCACAAATAATCTTGACTGGTAGGTCCCTAAGCATAGCTCACGCATCTTAAGATCACCTGTAGCCTTTACAAATATTAATCATTGTTAACCAGTTAAGGCCGAAGGTCCCCCCAGTGGACCCCTCCCACCGTTTTTTCTCTCTCACATGTCTCAGGGCTTCTTAACATTTATGAAACTATTAATGTTTCATACCCTTTTAAAGGTAAGAAACTCCGCTAACTGACAATAAGAACAATTGTTAGCTAGAAAAAACACAAGAGTAATACCAAGCCTTTGAATTAGCATTGAGCGAAACAATGCTAACTAATGCTAACGCTTTTTTACACACAACACACGGTAGAAATGCCCTTATTACTATCTTAACTGCACAAACAAGATATACGATTTAAAGCTGAGACTCCACAGATGTAATGTCATCACTGTAAGACCTCGAATTCCTGGAGCTATCAGCCAGAAAAGAGAAAGTAAACAACATCCGGTTCCAAAAATATTACAATAATTACGTCTTACCTTTTTTGATTTGTGATCAAAAGTTGTGTTCAACGGAATAAAAACGCATCTCAAGGTTAATCCAATGTCGTTGTGTCACGTAGAATTTTTCTGTCGCACTACAGCCATACAAAACACATCTATTCACCATAATAAAGGTCGGCTATTCACATGCAAATGCTATTGAATGTCCGCCATTGTTTGTGCCCGTCTTCCTGAGCTCTCGTCATCACCCGAAGATTCCCGACGATTCCCGAAGTATTTCGTTTCATTGAGAGGGCGCAGTAAAATTGAAAATAAAATAAAACTAGGCGGATGAAATTAAAAAAAATTGTTTAATATGCTTCTTTTTAATAAAAATACATAAGTTAAACCCAAAATTCGCGGATTTCCACTATCCCTTTAAGCTCAGGCATCGGTCTTCCATTGTTTATCACTGCTTGTTTTGATTGAAAGTCCAACTTTGAGAAATGTTTAAGGGTAGATATAAGGTTTTCCATTTTTGAAGTCCGTTTGGTGGGAGTAAATCCGTGAATGAAACAACAGTTACATTTTTTTAAGTGGAGCTGTAACCGAAGTGCATTTTTCAATGTTTTAATTTTTTTGATAGAGCTAGCTCAAGATCGCCCCCTTCAGTGCGGCAGAGGTTATGGCTGCCTCCCCTGGCGCTTTCTCAGTGCCGTTGTATGATGAGACCAGCGAGCCTAAATATCATATATACGTGAAATAAGTTAATATTTAGAGACTATGGATGGCGAGGATAAATGTAATAAAGGGATCTACAAACATTACATTGGTGACATACAGTGAGATGGTGCAGGCATGCGCTTAGGGCCCGCTTTCCAGACAGTTTCTGTGGGGTGACGCATTCTGAGGTGAGGCAGAGCTCATCTGTGCCTCACCTCACCACACAGTAACTGGCTTGAGCGTGCTCACAAAATAAGTGCCCGCGCAAAATTAGTGCCCGTGCTCCAGCAAGTTACTGTGGGCTTCTGTGAGGCAGAGCTCGTCCCTGCCTCACTTCTCAATCTCATCGCTCCCCGTAGTTGTAGCGGAACTCGGCAAATTAGCCGATTTTTACTATAAAAAGCGATTGGAATCATACAGAAATCACATTTACAACACAGATCAGTGGACACATTTGATTATTATTATTATTTGTATTATTATTCTTTTTTTCCGTTACATTGGAGAATGACAGGTGAGGCTCTGCCTCCCCTGACCGCACGTCGCTGGTGTGCACCCAGTTGAACTACAAGAACATGATTATTTGTAGGACTTGGGGACACGAAGGCCTTGGACACCACACTGTGTGAAAAGCTGTGTGCCTTAATTCGAAGGTTTATTGCGTTGTGATGTTTATAATTTAACAAATAAAGGAAATATGTTTTGACAAACAAAGTGTATCTCAATGGAACAATAACAACGTTGCAAAAACTTAGAAACAAAATCATTTATTAACTAATTTCTCAAATAAATCCAAATACTTTTTCGTGTTAGCCTGATTGGCCTCAAAGCGTTCCTGCTCTCGTTGGGCCTCCTCTTTGAGAAACTCTAATAGGGCCCCCCTACTTGCCCTCTTGTTCTTGGCAGGCGGGGGACTGAGAGAGGTGGATGGCTCTTCATCCAGTGTAGTGGTGCTGCTACTTGTGCCAGGCTGCCCAGGATCCTCCTCTTCCTCCATTGCCTGGCCACAAGGAGCGGCCACAGCTCCACTGGATGAAGAGCCAATCCCACTGGGGGTCACATCAGCCGAGTCCATCAGGACTGGAGGCTCCATGGAGGGCCGACTCCCGATGGCTTCATGCATCAGGGAAAACCACGGCCATGTGGCTGCCGTGGCCTCCCCCGCATCTGTCCCCGTCCCTGTAGGGGGGGTTTTCAGCTCCTGAGGGAGAACAAGGAATGTATGAGTCAGATGAAGACACAATAGAAATAGCTGCATTGTATGCATCTAGAAATACAATATCTCACCTTATATTTGCGTTTGAGGTTGTCCCACTTTTTTGCCAGTTGGGTGGGAGTGAGCAACTCCTCCAACTCCATCTTCTACAGAACCTCTCTGTGGAGTAAATAATTTGTAAACCATAGCATCCAGGCATGCAAAGTCTGATTACTTCTGACAATATGCTTCATGCATAATAATTCCATGACACACTCAGGTTCACTGTGGTTCATTCACAGTAGTGGTTACATTGATTATCATACCATGCACCAAAACAACATTGTCAAACAACTCATGTAGAACTGTAGCTCACCCCCAGGCCTTCTTGGCTGTGTACCTCTTTCCTGTAAACAGGTGCTCATTCTCAGTCCTTTGTTTAATGAGGGCTCTGGTTTGGGCCTCCGTCCCTGTTTAAGGAGAAATATGTTATATACATCAGCAAAAGGAAACCTTAAGCCATTAACATTTCACTCACATAATGCTGCATATAAATGACAGCTTAATTATTGAATTGAGCCGATTTGAATGTATTGAATTATTTATTACAAATACATTGTGACTGCCAGCCAAATGAATGATGGTACCTTAGTTACGTCTGTATGTGGCAGGTAGCCTAGTTAAATGAAGAAACAAGTGGTTTCCAACTGAAATATGTCCGATAAATAACGAATGCTGCGTGTGTATACGCACGTTATGTATTGCAAATCTTGCCTTTAGTTGGGCATTTCACATGAACATTGTTGAGAAAATATAAAGCGTTCAATAACAGAAATATATGAGTAGTGGGTTAAATAAATGTGAACAGATGTTGCATTCTCGTAACGGTATCGTTGTAGGCATACAAATAACATTAAGTAATAGGTACTTACACTTGTGTAGTTTTTCTGCCGCCATGTCTTTCAAATGTGCCAGCTGCATGCTGGAGGCAGGGCTTTTAAACCGAGTGAAATCAAGGATTCATGCCTCAGCTGCAGTGGCGAGCCGTGACTTTTATACCTAGGCCCTCTGACCCCCCCTTCCCTCGAAAAAAAGAAGAGATATTACGTCTCAACGTAGACTTCAGCAGAATATCAAAACAGTGGTCCGGGGTGCAAAACGCATCAATGACAGCGACCCTCTACCACACAAAACAACACAATTTATGTAAACACCTATCATGACAGGGCACCCACAACCACGGCGGCCCACATTGAAAATGACTTAGGCCTACCTTTGATGATCAAATCACTGAAACACAAAGTCCATCCTCCTGTCCTTTTGGATGAAGCACTTGATGGCGGGTCATGCAGCTGATCCTTTGCCACTCCAGTTTATCATTGTAACTCAATCTTGAAAATGACTCGGTTTAATAATCACTGATGTCATCACTATCACTGATGTCATCACTATCACTGAAGTGAGCCATCATGCTAATCATAAATCTATCGATCATAAATCTATCGATTAGATTTATGATTCAAAAATAGTAAAAGTAGGATAGACATGTGGATATTATCCGGCTGAACACAACGTGCATTTATCTAACAGGTTCGTTTTCCACAGACCTTATTTCGAGCTTGTGACGGAGCGGATCACATGAGTGACTCACTCCGCCACTGACAGCCGACACACACACACGCACACACAACACACCAAACATTTCGGAGAAAAGACGGAGCTGCATCACTTCCGTGTTTTAAATTCCTAAAAATGAACCATGCAATTTCTTATTTATTTTTACTTTTGTTAATTATGGGGAATGACGGTTAAGAGGTAGTTAACCTGTGTATGTTTGGTGCAGATAGTTTCCTCATGTTGGAGGAAATTACATTTATGTTGACAATGTGGTTTGGAGTTGATTGTGTCACCTGTTGACGGTGAGCCTGTGGGAGGGGCCATGGGTTCAAAAGGGACGGTGTTGGTTCCTTGTGGGGGCGGACTGTGTCACTCGGGGAATGTTGCAGAGAAGGCAACAGCTGGGACGTGTTCGAGAGATCGTTGCAGAGAAGGCAACAGCTGAACACGTTTACTCTCCGGGAATTATGGACGGTCTGATTTGGACGTTTTTTTCGTTTTTCTAACTTGTGCTGGTTCGCTATTTTTTTGTTGTTGCTGAAAATAAAGTTTTGGAGCTTACCCAACCGACTAGGCCAGTGTTTTCGGACGGACAATTTGAACCCCGTCACATATGGTGTCAGAAGTGGGATGGCTAGTCGGAGGAAGCTGGGCGGCGTTGCGGAGCGGCGAACGGGACTACGATCAGCAGCAGGAGGAGAGCGCGGCTGCCGGGTCGGAGCGGACATGGGAGACGGAGGACGAGGATGAGGACGGGTCCTGGGTGGGCCCAGCGGTTCCTGCGGCCTCAGGGTCGGCCAGTGGACCAGGGCGAGAGGGGTTCCTGTTGACGGAGCTCCGGGACCTACGA